GCATCCGTAATTGTAATCGCGATTAGAAATTCGATTAATTGTGCATCCCTAATATCAACCTATATCAAATAGGCATCCGATGACCCCTTTAACAAATGAAGTTTTCAGCACTTGTAACAGTGCCCTGTTTGCGTGCGCAGATCGTGAATCTGGAGGAGCAGCTGGAGCAGTTTCGTGAGGATCTGGAGAACAAGAGCGAGGAGGTGCATCAGCTCCACATGCAGCTGGAGATCCAGAGGAAGGAGATCAGCAGCCATCAGCAGGATCTGCAGGCTCAGGCCCGGCTCGCTCAGGTCCGCTCGCTCTCACACTTCAGCTGCTGTGTCTTCTGTGTTTGTCTAATGGCCCAGTCACATCAAGCACAGTCACTATATTAGCATCTACAGCAATGTTCTGATTGTTATAAGCGCCGTTTTGTCGTCCGTCTCTTTAAATGCTCAAGATTCTGATTGGCTGTCAGTGTTTTTATCGTACATAACTTTGGTGTTATCGTTAACAATTGTGATGTGGTTATTTTTTACAGTTAAAAGCGTTATAGTTAATCTATAGTCTGTTATGTTCAGTGTCACATAGATTTAGGTCAAATGTATGTATTAATGTGTATTTATTAAGGTCTCTTTCAGAGCAAAACCCATGCTTTACTGCAGTCGTGGCAGTGCAAAATATTTTCTTGTTTAGTATTTTTGTCTTGTTTTCCAATAGAAATATTTAAACTTACGTGACATATTAAATATTGCTCTAAACAAGAATAAATATCTGCCTATGGGGCCATAAAAATAAACGTAATTGAAAGATAAAACTTGTTTATTTTATTAACTGCCGTATTTAATTTGTACTTTTCAAGTTCATTCAGTTTATTATTATTTTTAAATAATTTTTTTGGCCCATTTTACAGATATTTGGTCTTGTTTTAAGCATAAACACTTCATTTTGATTTAATAATATATATATATATATATATATAAACTTAGTAAGTTAATGCATCTTGATGTAGATATAGCGGGAGGGCTAGAGAGAGAGATATATATATATATATATATATATATATATATATATATATATATATATATATATATATACACTTAGTAAGTTAATGCATCTTGATGTAGATATTTATACTGGAAAACAAGACAAAAATACAATAAAAATAAACTTAATTCAGTGGGAAAACAAGATTATTTTTCTGACCTCATAAATTAGCTTAATTTTCAAACATTAAACAAGACTGAATATATTATGTAATTTTCCTTCTCGAGTAAATGCATTTTAATTTAAGAATATTTATATATTTGAAAAGTAAAACAGTCGTTTATTGCAGATTACGAAGGCAGACGTTTTTCTTTATACCACGCACTGATGAATCATTCACATTAAGACTCATGTTTTGAGTTCTTGTTGACTTGAATATGAATCTGAGAGTTTGAGTGTCAAACCGAGATCCGAGTCCTTGCCGCAGACAGGACTGTCCTAAATTCAGAGTCATGTGATGATGTTTAACTCTTGAAGGTCTTGGAGGAGAAGGACAGGCAGATAGCCGTCTTTAACAAGCAGCTCGCTAAGCGTCAGCGCACGGGAACAGACCCTAAGACAGAGGTAAAGTGGTATACATATGTGTGGACACACGGCGGCTGTCAGC